AGTCAAAGGTTGTCCAGAAATTATAGTCTCATCGCCAAACGGTCTAGGCAATGTGTGCATCAATCAAAAAGTTTATAAGCCAGAATCAACTTAGGTGGTTGTGATGTGTTGCGGTTCCCACACCCATGTACTACTAGCTAAAGTACGATTAGATTTCTAAAGTTTATTTGAACAAACACAAACATTGGTACAAAGAGGAACTAAATATATATGCGCTACAGAAATCATTCAATTTGTGTAAGGGCTAGGATACTGCCCGGGAGCCCAAACTGAAGAAGGTGGTTTTCTTAGGAGACCACAACCCAAGCCTTTGACCTAAAGGTCTAGTCCATAAGACAATGGAGCAACGTAAGGATGGCGTTTGAATCAATCATTGGCCACAGACTATCATGGGACTGCATCTGCTCACGATGCTCCACTGCCTTGTGAATCAGACCTTTAGGTTAAAGATTCCGGGTGTGGTTCCCTAAGAAAACCACCTGCTTCGGTTGAGCACCCGGGCAGTATCACAACCCACACACAAATCAAGTGACTTGTGTGGCACATATGTATGTGGTGCCCCTTTGTACCAACATCTATGTGGTCAAATAAATAAATAAATAAAGGACTGATAAACAAAATCCCGACCGTTGCTGCTACCTTGACGTGGTGGTCGGGCTTGCCTATCGTGATGATCCAATCGAGCTATGCTGGCTGGAACAATCGTTCCTCAAGGTCCTACCATGCCAGACAGGTCGGTTGAAGAGCAGTGAGACTAAAAGCAGCAATCCCAAGGTCCGAAGGCGAAGTCGTACTGCTGACTGTACAGAGGTGTGAAAGCAGTAAGGTGTTTCCTTCAGACAACCAGCATGACAGCGATGCTGTCTTCCCACAAGGAGGGGTGGGGTTAGAAAAGGTCGACCCTAAGGTAAGGTTTTTTTTGAAGAACGGAGCTAACACGTCAAAAATCCCCCACAAAAAGGTCGTGCGTGACCGGCCTCAAGCAGTTGTCCCTTGGGCACTGCGGTCACGCTCCCAGGTCGTTAAGACCAACACTAATCCAACTTCTTTTTCAGGTCCCTCAAGAAATACCCTTCCACGGTGTGGGCAGCCGGGAAGTGATACTAGCCCTCATACCCTTAACTGCACACGAGACCAAGTTGGTCGCTTTCAAATCCTTTCTACTCCTAATAACTCTGTTATCCCCACGACTAACCCTTCCCATGTCCTTTTATCACCTCGCACCGCTAGGGCAAACGATTCGAGTACACAGAACGTTATTCCTGGTCTCCTGAAATCACACTCTAAACTACATATAGGAACTTTTAATGTCCGAACATTGTGCCAAATAGGACAACAGGCTTCCTTAGCTAGGACTCTGGAATCTTACACCATCGATGTGTGCTGCGTCTCCGAAACGCGCATACAAGATCCGACTAGTGTCATTCATTTGACCCCACCTAATCAAAATAAAGTTTCATCTCGATACACGCTTCGTGTATCTGGAAGCCCTGATGCTGCTTCCAGTGGCCTCGCTGGAGTAGGTATAGCATTAAGTCCTAGGGCAGAACTAGCTCTTTTAGACTGGATCCCAGTAGACAGTCGTCTATGCGCTGTCCGACTAAACGGATCAGTAAGGACCCGGAAAGATAGGGAAACTCGTCGTTGCCTCTTCGTCGTTTCTGCCTACTCTCCCACTGACTGCAGCTCAGACGATATAAAAGATGAGTTCTACAGGAAACTTTCTGACCTTCTCTGAGAAGCTAGGCGTTCTGATGTAGTAGTAGTAGTAGCAGGTGACTTTAATGCTCAAGTAGGTAAACTAAGTGAAAGGGAAAGACACCTGGGTGGATCTTATGGTGTCATGGCGAAAAGAACAGATAATGGCGACCGTCTGTTGCAGCTATGCTCAGATAACCGCCTATTTCTTGCAAATACTAACTTTAAGCATAAGGAAAAACATCTTTTGACATGGCGACCCCCGAATTCGTTTCAACGTTGGACCCAATTAGATCACATCGCTATCAGCCACCGATGGAGGGGCTCGATAGAAGACTGTCGCTCATTCTGGGGCACATGTTTAGATTCAGATCATGCTCTAGTGCGAGCACGTATCTGTCTGCGTCTTACTGGACGTAGGAAAGACACTACAGGGAAGCCTCTAAGGGTTCTACTTAATGATAGGCAAGCTAAGAATATATTTCAGGAACAACTAAAAAACGGTTAGGCAGCCATGTAAGTTGTGTCCACCCCGAGGCAGCGTGGAATGACATCCGAAAAGCTGTGGAAACAGCAGTGATATCCACTAGTAAGGTAAACCATAACGTTAGGGAAAAACAATGGATCTCGGCAGCATCTACCGCACTGATAGATGCTCGTAAACTCATCCCACCTGGCTCTGAACATAACGAAGAGCGGAGTCAACTTAAGCGCAGGCTTATAAGAAGCCTACGTAATGATCGTGAACAGTAGTGGGTAGCAAAAGCAAGAGAGATGGAAAAGGCAGTGGCAATAGGTAACAGCAGACAACTGCTCAGATTTAATAAAGAAACCGGTATTAGGAACCCGAATATCAGTGAAACCATCTCAGATAAAGATGGGCATATTATTCATTCTCAATCCAGGAGATTGGATCGATGGGCAGAACACTTTAGGGATCAGTTCAACTGGCCTTCAGCCACACTTCAATTACCCACGATCCCCAGTCGTCCTGAATGGCAAATTGATGTAAGTCCTCCAACCCTCTATGCAGTTGAAAAAGCTATAGGAAATCTGAAGCGAGGGAGAGCAGCAGGCCCTGACAGGTTGACCCCTGAGATTTTTAAGGATGGTGGTCCAGTACTAGCAGTAAGATTGACTGAGGTCTTAGGTAGAATCTGGGAACTGGACGTAATTCCACCTGACTGGTCCCAATCACTGATTGTGCCAGTCTATAAGAAAGGACAAAAGTCCTCCTGTGACAATCACAGAGGGATCAGTTTGACTAATATAGTGTCTAAAATATTAGCTTCAATAATACTAGGTCGCCTAACCAAAGCTCGTGAAGAGCAGACTAGAGAAAACCAGTCTGGTTTTCGACCTGGACGTGGTTGCATAGACCAGATATTCACCCTACGTCAGGTCCTAGAACATAGACATACATTCAGACGTCCCACAATAGTAGTATTTCTTGACCTTAAGGCGGCATTTGACTCCGTTGATCGTGAGGTTCTATGGCAGTGCTTGTCACTGAAAGGAGTACCAAAGAAGTACATTAACCTCATAAAGGCTCTCTACTCGAACACAACTGGTCGAGTTAGAGCCTATGGCGAACTGTCATCATAACTGATTACCACAAGCGGCGTTCGTCAGGGCTGTCCACTCTCCCCATTCTTGTTTAACTTTGTTATTGACATACTTTTAGAAATAGCACTTTCATCAGCTAAGCCTCCAGGAGTTGAACTTTTACCGGGAGGCTCACTTATTGACTTAGAATACGCCAACGACATAGTTTTACTCGGTGAAGACGCTGACAACATGCAGAGTCTTCTGACCACTATAAGCAACTATGCAGGCATGTTCGGAATGCGATTCTCTCCCTCGAAGTGCAAAGTGTTACTTCAGGATTAGGTTGCAGCGACACCTGAACTAATGATAGGGAGTGAAGTAGTTCAGCGTGTAGACCACTTCACTTATCTTGGGAGTCTCATCAGCTCTTGTGGTCTGGTATGTGACGAAATCTCAGCACGGATACAAAAGGCTCGTCTAGCTTTTGCCAACTTGCGTCATTTATGGCGTAGGCGAGATATCCGTCTAGCAACCAAAGGACGGGTTTACTGTGCAGCAGTTCGCTCCGTCCTACTTCATGGCAGTGAAACGTGGCCAATAAGAGTCGAGGATATTCGTAGGCTACTAGTGTTCGATCATAGGTGTCTTCGAAGCATTGCTCGTATATCCTGGGACCACCGGGTAAGTAATGCAGTTGTTAGGAAACGAGTACTAGGTAGGGATGGCAAATCGATTGATGAAGTAGTGAAACTTGATCAGTTGAGATGGCTGGGACACGTGTTACGTATACCCGACCACCGACTGCCCCGACGTGCAATGTTTCATGGTGTAGGAGTAGGTTGGAAGAAAGCTAGGGGTGGCCAGACCAAAACGTGGCACAAATCAATGAAGTCACTGACAAGTGGACTAAGCCATGTTGGTAGGTGTAGACTACCTGGTTGGGATTCGCGAGATGACAGCAACCGATGGTTAGAGACCTTGAATGACATGGCCCAAAATCGTTTGCAATGGCGAAGGTGCATCCACTCTTTGTGTTCTACCAAATTCTAATTTTCTGAATTCCTCATGTCTTTATCTTTATCTCTTTCCAAATTTATTTCACTGTACTATACTCCTTCAATAATTTCTTCAAACCCTAATCTTTTGGATTTCTGATTATACTCCTACTACTTCTACCACTATGGGATTTGAATCGACAACTGCATCTTTGTGCTAATGTGGTATGGCAACTCGAACTGATGTACGTACGTACGAAGTTCTACGTTAAGACTGACTGACTGATAAACAAAAACATTCCTTTGGGTGGTCGGTTGTTTATTTGAGCGAGACCTGTATTTCTCCTCGGTGTTCTTGAGACAATAGAAAAAATTACTAGACTCTTTATAACATGACTCATTGACGGAAGATTCGTCCCCTCTGTTTTTTTCGGACTACTGAATATTTTATTCCCTATTTACTGACATTTTCAGATTCTCTCTATTCTTTTATTGGCCTTCCACTTTTTTTTAAACTTTTTTTATGTTGTAAGGTTTAGCAAACTGAATTTAGACTTTCTTCGTTATCTTATGTTTATACATCTGTATATCTAGAGTGGGCATACTGTGTAAGAAGTCGTGGTTTAGTATTTTGAAAACTATCAACTTCATGTATAGTTTTTTAAATTTATTCATGTCTTATTTAATTTTTTTTCGTAGATTCTACTCATATTAGTTTGGTGATCATTTATATCGTTACTGAAACGCATTTGCACAAACATGAACTATTCGAGAGATCCTCCACCACCTTACGAAAGTGCTGCTAATACCCATTCAGGTGGTTTAAATTAGCCTTTGTATTGATCTTTACAGTCCCATTTTAATCATCCATTTAAACTTCTTTTATGTGCTGGTTTATATTCGTGCAACTTTATATTTAGAAAAGTAGCTCTGACTGAAAGTTTTCATCTAAGATATTGTCTTGTTTATAATTCTCTAGGCTATAATCTGAACAACGTAACAGAACACGAACTTATTAATTACCAGTCTTCTCAATACTTTATGTTGTGTCCTAGTAGGAGAAAAGCTAGTTGAGGGCTGATAGTTTTGGAGCATAACACCTTGATAGTTGAAACATTATATTTTTCAAACTCAACCAGAAACCTGAACATGATCTTCGATTTGGAAAGTTGAATAACATCATCGTTATGTACACTTTACATAGTAGTTGAATTGTGGTACCCGAATATACAAACGATTACTGATATTCACACCAAGCATAATATAATCCATGTGGTTGTATCTCTGAATCGGAATATTTTTCTAAATAAATAACTAGTGTTTTTTTTCTCCCCTTTGTTTTCATTTATTTAAGCGCCTTATCCCAATATTGGGTTTGCAGTTGGACCGTACTCTGAGCCTGCAGGATATCAGGATAATTCATCTGATCAGGAGCCAAAATATAATCGCAATGGAAATTTTACCAGTTTACAATATTCTGACAAATATGTTAGACATGCTTTCATTCGAAAGGTTGTTTTCTGCGTATTCATACTAACAATATTTCCCCCACCCCTTGTTAATTTTAGGTCTATCTAATTTTAACAGCTCAGCTGTTAGTAACTTCAGCATTTGTTTGCGTCTTTCTGTTTTCGTAAGCTGAAAATCATCTAATTTTATTAAAAAATCTTTATCATTTTATAATAGATCGCCTGTAAAAAAATGGGTTTCAAGAAATTCATGGTTTTATTATTTGTCCTAGTAAGTTAAATTTTTCTTTTCAAATGACCATGTAAATAAGTCTCAATTTTTCTTTTATCCTACAAACACTGTATTTTAAAAGACTTTAAATGACCCCTTCTCCCATGGATTCATAAATTTATAGACGTTAAACCCTTATGACCCACAAAAATTTATTAGAAACTACCCTTAGATCTTCCTATCAGCGGAATTTCTAATTAAACTTATTAATTCAAACAGTACAGTGATTTTAATGACCAGTTCACTAGCCCATAGTATTATTTTGCAGTAGTATATAAAATACATTATAAGTCACCCCATCCCATCATCCACCTAATGTATTACAAACTATTGGTTTCCTGTCCAATAACCTATTCAAAGTATACACAAAACTTTTTCAATCAAAGCAAAATCCTTTATGTTAAAAACAATAAGCTGTTATCAATGAAATAGATTGCTGAAGCCAGTGAGACACAGTTCTGTTCAGCAGTTATTTGAACTTCTTGTTTCCAGTTATTGCAATTGTAATTAAGAGAGAATATATATGTGGTTTAGGGAATAATTAGTGAATAAAATAAACATAAATCAGTACTTACTGACCATTCATTAACCTTTTATATTGATATTATCTTTTGTATATAATTGAAAGTATATTTGATGAAGAATTTACTTAGCCATTTACTCAGTAATTCCATCCTTTAGTATCTATTCACCAGTTATTTTAATTCCTTGTTCCGTGATTATTTATTTATACCGATCAAATAGTTTCTTATATTCATCCGTCAATATTCCATCTCAACACTTTGATAGTTATTATTGATATTCTAACAAAAATTATTCATGAGATAATTAAGTACACTTTACCCTGGTATGTATTATTGTTACACCTAACGTAGGTGATAACAAAAATCAAGACTGGTAGGTCCTGGGTTCGAATCTCGCGAGAGCGGGTTCGTGGATGCGCACTGCTGAGGAGTCCCATAATAGGACGAAACGACCGTCCAGTGCTTCCAGGTTTTCCACGGTGGTCTAGCTTCAATTGACTCATGATCTTAACTATAAAATTACTAAATCTCCACAAAACCCCCCTTGTGATAATGATCATCTGCTCACTAGTGACTGGCTCCTTGAGGTAATTCCTGGAGTTCTAGTGAGAAGCCGTGGCCAGTGGAGCTAATCCATGTCAGGTAGAGACAGGTATCTACCTCAGTACATTGGAAGTTGGTTGCGCAATTTCGTGGATTGGTTGAGGTTAGACATTAACACCGTTGGATGCCAGCTCAGTGGTCTATCGGTTAAGGGCTCTGGCTCGAGACTGGTAGGTCCTGGGTTCGAATCTCGCGAGAGCGGGTTCGTGGATGCGCACTGCTGAGGAGTCCCATAATAGGACGAAACGGCCGTCCAGTGCTTCCAGGTTTTCCACGGTGGTCTAGCTTCAATTGACTCATGATCTTAACTATAAAAAAAAATCAAAGCGTTTGTTAATTACTATGACCATAAATTGATTGTTCAACAATGGTCCGTAGTATTGTGATTTGGTTTGTGAACGGTAAATTTTTACGGAATTCAGCCTGTTGGTCTCAAAGTTGAGAGTCTATTGAATGACTGATCCTCCCGGTCTCTCACATTGTCCGGACATCTCATGCACATATATTAGTTGTTGTTGTGGTTGTTAGAAAGGGCATCGGCCCCATGACTTCCTCAGAATTTCGGCTTTCATCATGAAGTATCATAATTCTTCATAATGAAGATCCTTCAACTAACAAGACAGAGTTTAAATGGCCTAAAGTGTTTATCCTGGTTAGCGTTCTTTTTAGCAAAGTTATTTCCTATGGGATAAGGTTGTTGACTTTTTACTTAACCCTCCTCGTTTATCCGGGCTTGAGACCGACAGTAACTCTAGACAGACCACAGGCTAGTGTTGTATTAGGCGTTGTTTTCGTGTGCACTTACTCGTGACTTTCAACTTTGAAGCGAAAAGAACGAATGAACCAACACAACATAGTTATGTTCAGCTAATTATTGTGCAACATTTTTGTCAGTGAGTTAAAATATAACTTTACCAATCCTCTATTCTTATACAAAACCCATAGCTAGTTTGTTCAACTTTGTATCGTATGAATAATATAACTCATCGTTATATTCTTCTATTCCCCAGTATTTCCTGACCATGATACTTTACTGGCTCGTCTCAAATCAAAACATGATTTGAGGAATGATTCATATTCTGATAAACACGAACAACAAAAATATAGGTCGTGAAAACATTGTAGTTTATATAGAATTTATATAAAAACCTAACATCTCGACCCGTTGTTTGAAAATGGACATATCAGTATGTTTGGATTTGAGCATGTTCAGAGCATGCAATGGACAGGTGTGTACCCCATTAACCCTCATCGACGAAGTTTTTGGTTTTGTATGGTATAAAACTCTACAAAGTATCACTTAATCGCTTGAAATTGTATTGAGGTTATAATTAACTCTGAGTATGATCTAATAGTTTAAAGACTTATTTTACAAACCCAATTAGATCTACTTCGATTTCAGTTATCTAAATAGTATCACAAGAATTTCATGCAATTAGTTTCCTTTATGAATTTAAATAAAGCCAGAACAAATATTGATGCAGAATAATATGAATTCATTATATTTCGTGGTTTCTCATCAGCTGCTTACAACCAAACATGTATTAGACTTGTAACCTTGGGGTAATAAATAATGTGGAACAATTGACATAAGTCAATGTAAAGAATTGGAAGGACAAAAGGTTATCAATGATAACTATATATAGAGGTTATTAGGTGTTAGAATCAAGGAAACATAAAGGGTGGGTGGTGTAATAGTTGAGTTGAGTTCAGAAACAGATAAGATAAAATGTGTGATAATTTCAGTGGTAACGAAGAATCCATAGAATTAAAAACAAATAGGATGGGTTACGTAATAATTGAATAGAATTTGGAGAGTTCATATAATTTAAGAGAAACAAGTGAGCGAAAATGCATAAGTGAAAGGGTGGTTTAAGAATTGGGTAATGGAAGAGGAATATAATACAAACTAAATATTAACCAAAATGAAACTAATAACCAAAACTAGTATCACATACCCTCACATAAAGAATGTGATCGAGTGTCCAGTAGAGCAAATTTGTATTTATTAGATGAGTAACATTAATATCGATTATCGATTACATTTTATAAAATCAGAAATTGTCTTAAATACCAATAGTGTTTCCATCTGTTCACCTTGTGCTTCTATTGAAATAGATTTTTCCACTAACTTTAAATTTCTCAATTCTGTTAATTGAATTTCTTTCTTTCTCTCTGTATATTTTATTCATTAGTGCTACATTTTTGTGCACTTATATTGCATTGGTTTGTTGTCCCAGTGTAAGACGACGATATCCTGGAAACGTTATCGCTTTATCTGTTTTTGTAAGTATCTTTTTTAAAATATAAAAAACATCTTTATTCTGCATAAATCTACACACTTTCTAGTGTATAGATTTTTACTTAACACAGTAGTTGAGTAGAATAAAATCTTGGATTCGCACTGCTCAGGAGTCCCACAATAGGACGGAACGACCGTTTAGTGCTTCCAGGTTTTCCACAGTGGTCTAGCTTCAGTTGACTCATGATTTCAACTATACATAAAATCATAGTTGTTAATTAATTAATTTTCATAAATCATATTATCATGTGGGTGTTAATAATGCAGAATATTTCGTAAATTAAATCGTAATCATTCATAGTGCTAATTAGTCTATAGTAATGTTATGTGTTAGTTAAATCGACATTCAATAAGTTTATCATAAGCAAAGTAGAATCTGAGATGTATTTCTATCAGTTCAAGTTACCACATCATCTTAAACACGGTAAGATAAAATTATAAAAACAAATGACGAAGTAGTAGTAGGAGGAGAAGAAAAGATTAGGTAAGCGTAGATAATATACTTTGAGAAGAAGAAAAGAATTCATAGGATTTAAAAAGATAAGGTAGTTTTATAACTGAAAATTTTAAGGAAGATATTGTAAATGGATCTGCATTATTGTGACCGATTATGAATCATATTACCCAACATCAACAACCATTGGTTAGAATAATCATAAGGACCCCAATTATGTGGTCTTTACTCACTAATATGGCTCAATTTAACATTCAATGACTCTGTAGCTAGATTTATACTGTAATATAGAAGTTACAAGATATATGTACTTGGTATATTATCTTTAACCATGAAGCTTTCTTTTTAACTAAAATATCTTGATAGTTTATAATGGTTTCAAAGGTATAACGTTATTAATTATGACTATTTCCTGAGTGTGTTCACGGACAAATGATCAATTCTGTTTCTATAACCAAGTGTATTCTTAATGAAATAAGTAAAATTCTTATATTTATAATTTTACTCATGTCATCTTATAAGAGCAGTACAAGTGTATTTAAATTGAGTGAACAACTAGAAACTTATAAACTCACTTCTATAACGCCTAATTCAATTTATGTCAATCTCGAAATCTAGATTTCATTTATTTAAATACATAAATATTGGTACAAAGGGGCACCAAATACATTGTTGTGGCGTAAATCTGATTCCTTTTTGATCGTACGTACTGTCTATTCTCGTATGTAATAAATCACTTGATCCGCGTTGGTTAATAACGGAGTTAAATAAGTCAAATGGAATTAGAATACATATATTTTCTACACTCATTGATCTGGCCATGGAATCAGAGCGATGAAGCGAACAGAAGTGAGAAGCAAAATGACGTGCGCTTTGGATATGGCTGGGAAGCCAACTCGAGAGCGAAGCAAAAATAATGCGTATTGGAGATTGGCTGAGAAGCCAACTCACTATGAGCATGCATTACTCAATATTTATAGCCAGACAAAAATAAATGACAGACATATGATGAATAGGATACGAAGAGTACACATATACGCTCATATAAAAATATAGTCAAGGTTAATAAGCGAATAATTAACAAGATCAAAATATGACTCATAAGGTATAGGTGAATTAGCTTGGCCAGAAGCTAGAATAAAGTATATGGGCTTAACATATTAACTGATACTACAACATATGTGCCAAACAAGTCACTTGATTTGTGTGTGGGTTGTGATACTGCCCGGGTGCTCAGCCGAATCAGGTGGTTTTCTTAGGGAACCACACCCGGAACCTTTAACCTAAAGGTCTGATTCACAAGGCAGTGGAGCATCGTCAGCAGATGCAGTCTCATGATAGTCTGTGGCCAATGATTGATTCAAACGCCATTTGTTTCCTCAAGATACTGGAGCCCATGTGCACCATTGGTTTGGAATGAGGGTTATCCAACTCTCCTAGATGAACTTTCTGTGTCCACCAACCCGGTTAAAGAGCCGGATATTCGCTTTTCGTCCTCTCACTTTCGCAAACAACACCCCCGGTGAGAGAAGGTAATGAGTAGGACTTCCCTGGGAGAGGCTATATACATGCGGCCATATGAGAGCATTTCGAGAGGGAGAGCGAACTCTCTCCACTCTCTTCCGTATCAGGGCATTTAGGGGCAAATCTAGATTTAACCTTGAATTTTTTATGGTAACATAAAACAACTAGTCAGTTGAATAATTTCATTTCCTATTATTGAACTAAAAGCAAATGTAACCTACTCCATATATATGCAAAATCTATGAACATATCTGAAAATATTACTTTCACAATAGTGTTTTTATAGTAAGAATGTTGTATGCATATTTCAAGTCAACAATTAAGAGAGATCTTTTAATAAAAAGTAACCAGTTAAAGGTTTATCTTTCTAAAGATTAAATAAATATCATAAAGTTTAACATGACTTGAATATCATTATGTTTATTGAATACTAGGCACTGTAAAATAATGTCTTAATAGATAGCGTCAGATATTGACTTTATTATATAAGGGCATTTGATTCGTGTGTGAATGTATTTATCAACCAACCTACTGATCATTTCCTGTCATTAGTCAGTAACTCATGAATAAACAACCCATTTACTAAATACTATTTAATTTACTCAAATTTTAACCAATCTTTTCCTGTGATAACAGTTAATGATGCTACTCGCTTATAGTAGGTGATGGTGTTGGCCTGGGACCTACAACCTATTGATCGAAAGTTTTATGCTTTAACTATAAAGCCGACTATCAGCGATTAAGCCATATAATACCGTGCCAAAGTAAAATTACTTAAAATAAGTAGTAGCTTGAGTCAGGTAGGATGATGGAATTAATTCACTATAACTATCATACAGTTAAAATCTGTTTGAATGTTATAAGCATTTATACAAATACTTCCGGTAACAACCTACCACCATTACCTACATTTCAATCAACAGTGTTACCACTACCTTTGTAAATTCACATTTTGCCTGAATGTTTTATTATTATTGTTATCATTATTCCTTATCGCCATTAACTGTTTGTTTTTTTATTTATTTCAGACACTTGCATTTTCTTATATGACTGGTACAGTTGCATCATTTTATGATACACAATCTGTTCTAATTGCTGTTATTATAACAGCTTGTCTATGTATAGCAATTTCTATTTTTGCTATACAAACACGAATTGATATTACAAAATGTACTTCTTTAATATTTGTATTAACTATTGTGGTAATGTTAACTGGACTTGCTTGTGTCATTGTTTTTGCTGTATCCAAACCGAATTGGGTAAGTTTTTAATATTTTGAATCATAATATTCTTAATTTATTTAATGCAATAAGACAATAAGATTGTGCGTTATACACAAAGAAGAAGAGAGATTATTTTATAAGCAGAGATAAATAGTAGCTAGCAGTGGAATTAAGGACACGCGTTTCGTCCTATATTGGACTCGTCAACCGGATGTACTTGTATCACAGAGTTGATGTTCACTCTAAGACTTGACTGTAGGTATGCCCATCTGAAGAGTCCCAAATAGAATGAAATGCGCTTTTTGGATCCCACTGCTAGCCAATATTATCCATCTCTGCTTATAATATTTGTAATATAAGGCAATATCGAAGCAATTCCTGCAGAATGTACATTGTACCAAAAAAGACTGATCAATTGTAGTCCTAAACATAGATGGAAAGATTTAAACAATTAATACAAATGATTATTTCATAGTGTAAATAGACTATGGCTAGCAACAGAGTCCATGATGTTCGTTTCATCATTTTTGGGACTAATTAGTTGGATACAACTGTATCACAGTGTTGATTTTCACACTGAGACTCGAACCCTATGTCTTTCGCTTTAATTAATCCATTTATTCTATAAAATTTATGATAAATGACCGTGTCTAAACAATCTGCACAGGACGCATATATACCAACAAAATTTAATCGATAATATACACAACGAGATAGTTCAAATCTTTTCTAATAATGATATAAAATAGTCTTCATTAGTATGGATGATTTTGTGTAAACTGTTTGATTTGTAGTTTTACATTATAGACTGACGTTATCCAGACAAAGAACTCTATCAAAAACCCGAAGACACCGATCGATTATTTCGTCTTGATATAAGACTCATCGACAACAATATACATAAGCGACCTCATTAAATTGTAACGTTGCCGTCATGTCTAAAAATGTGGTATTGTGGTAGAATGAAAAAAAAATCAAAATCTATCATTACCATAATTTTTTTTACTTGTTAACTTTTTAAGTTCAATATATTTGCGTAGGCAAGAAACATTTTTTTACTTAGCAAACAAAGATTAAGTACCGCATTGAATGGTAACTAAGTATTTTGAATATTTTCAAGTGAAACATAATAAGCACCAACTTTAAGTGTAAACATATACCATTGAATTTGCGTTATATATCAATTTATGTATGTATATTAAATCTCAAAATCAGTACTAATTAATGGATTCTGACCTAATGACTCAGCAACGAATTGATAGTTTAGACATATCAACCGTACGTAACGCGATAGCGTTTGAAGCGAAAGGTATTGGGTTCGAGCCCCAGAGTGAACATCAAATCTAAGATGCAGGTATATCCAACTGACGAGTCCCAAATACGACGAAACGCGTGTCCTTAATTTCACTGCTAGCCACTATCCATCTTTGCTTACCATGCTTGTGAATTTAGGCTCTATCAAGGCAATACGCTCAGTATGCACATATGCCAATAAGAGACTGACCAGTTGCAGTCCTAAGCATCAATGAGAAGATTCAAATAAACAATACTAAGTGAATTCATACTTAACTCTGTTCGAAAAGAGGTTAAAATCGTTTACTAATAATAAAGGGCTTCAATGTAAAACAAAGTATTGATTCAGTCGTTTTCAATTCTATCTAAGTAGTTATTTATTGGTTACAGAATTAGTTTTTCAACCACAGAAAAATAGGTTTGAAGCTGTCTGAATCATATTTAATTTGAAAAACCACATAGTATATTACAAGCTCCTTTACAATTGAAGTGTGGTCAGTCAGCCAGTCACTGGATCGGTTGAAGTTACCACAACATCTCACTACGACGAGATACGACAAATAACAGAGCAGTAGAAGTAATAACAGTATCATTGATATTAGAAAAGATTGGGTATAAATTGTATAATTAGGGGAGAAAGAATGGATTTATGAAGTAGAAATGTGTGAGTTAATTTTAAAACTGATCATAGTTATCGCGTTGACCTCAACCAGGTAATCTGAACCTACCTACACGATTCAGTCCGACAGTCATTTAGTTCATGGAGTAATGTCGCTTCCTGGTTTAGCCACCCCTTGCTTTCTTCCAACCTATTCCTATACTGGCAAACATCTTGGTTTGAAGTAAGCGATGGTTGTGCATTCATAATACATATTGTAACCACCTCAGTTGATTGCGATGCACTACCCCATCTATCGATTTGCTATCTTTGCCTAGTACCTTAGTGTTGATCATTTGGTAATCTCATCCGTATGTAACAAATAACTTACATTATTTCTTGTGTTATATTTTATGGTTCTGTCATTGTCTATGTTAAAAGATATGTCCAATTAATCATCTAATTTTCTTCAAATATTACTATTCTGATATTCCTTAATGAATTGCACCTTTTTCTCATAGTATGGTGAGCATGAATCCATACAAAGAGTTCTTTAATAACCAATATTTATGTGTATTTTTTTCACTTATCTTTAATTAGATTTTGCAAGTCGTTTATGGTGGACTCGCAGCCCTGTTGTTTGGTGTGGTATGTTTACATTTGTTTTTACTGAGTTTTATTGATTTGTTTGCTTTCCTTTTGACAGTAATTCATACTGTGTTTACTAAATCTTAGTTATTTAAAACATTCACTCCTTCTAGCCAATTAAGTTTCCATACTAAGTGAGCTATTAGTTACCTAATATTGTTATGGACTACAAAATGCAATGTAAGCATATGTTTTTTTTAATATGTACTTTACTCGATGTAAGCATTTATAGTTATGAATTCACTTAGTATTATTTGTTTCAATCTTCTCATTGATGTTTAGGACTGAGACTGGTCAGTCTCTTGTTGGCATATGTGCATACTGTTCGTATTGCCTAAATTCACAAGCATGATAAACAAAGATGGATAGTGGCTAGCAGTGGAATCCATTTTGACGCGCGTTTCGTCCTATTTGTGAATTAAGGCAATATCGAGGCAATACGCACAGTGTGCACATATGCCAATAAGAGACTGACCAGTCTCAGTCCTAAACATCAATGAGAAGATTCAAATAAACAATACTAAGTGAATTCAAACTTCACCCTTTTGCACAAGCAAGTGGCTATCAGGACTCAGTAGCTGAGTGTTTAACGCGATGAAGTTTGAAACGACAGGTACTGGGTTCGAATCCCAGAGTGAACATCAACTCTGAGATGCAGGTACATCCAGCTGACGAGTCTCAAATAGGAAGAAACACCCGTCCTGGATTCCACTGCTAGTCACTATCCATCTTCATTTACAGTTTTATTTTTCATTATATTTTGTACAAACTGTTATAAACGTGGTTAATTAAAGAAAATATATTAACTTTTCATTAACAACTTGAAAGGAAATTCTTTTCTTGCTAACACTCACTACCAAGTGAATTTAAATGTTTTTTTTCAAAGTTCAAACTCTCATTGGTCAACGATGTAGTAATCTCCATTACATAACAATTAGATAATCTAATTATTTACTATTAAAACTAATAATTTCAACTCTATATTCTCATCTTTTAAGTTTAGAAGTACATTTATTACATCATTTTGCTTCTGAAATCAATATAGGTGGGATAAAACTTCACTCCTTAAAATTCAGTAAATACAGACTTTTAAATACTCGGTTTTGGGTTGCATTTTTGTTTCGCATGTGTTGGGCACCAATGATACCATTCGACTGACATGTTCATCAAACTTAAAATAGATAGAATGAGATTCAAACTTGCAACTTAATATATAATATGATTGTAAGTGTTGAGTCGGCTTCCAGAGAACTTCAACGGAGCCTCCAGAGGCCCAAAAAGGAGCCGAAGAGCCCCAGCCAATCGGAGTACGATGGAACATTCTAGAGTTCCAACGTGGCGTGCTACTATTGGTCGGTAGCATAATATGTCGTTAATGGATTGGCTGAAATATGATGTTGATTTAACATACGCTAACATCTATAAATACCCATGATTTTCTGTACTGGATTGAACCCTGGAATAGAGTGTTTCTCTCTTACTTGCGCCTTCTCCCTGGTGTTCAAGTCGCTCAGTAGTTCTAGCCTGTGGTTTACCATAATAGCTTAGGAAACGAATATAGCGTTCAATTGACGAGACGTATCAGTAAGGATGGCTCGTTGGCAAAACTCTAGGAAGCCTCAAGAAGCCCAGAAAAAGCCGAAGACATTCCATCCCAATCACCACTATGGGAACATCCTAGAATGTCAACGTGTAGCTTCCCTATTGGATGAATAAGAAGGACCTCCTATGTGCCTATTGGCTGTACGAAATGATGATTTACTTTCAGCCAGGAAACTATAAATACATGAGATTTTTTATATTATATTTGATGCTGTTTTTGGGAATAAAATTCCTACCTACTAGTCTTGTCTCTTGCGTCGTTGCGGGTTCAATCATTCAAATAGTTTAGTAGTACGTGGCATAGCAAGAATCTAAAGCTCTAGATATAACAATAATATTCTACATTGTGTATCTTTTTTTTTCAATATATCTCAGTTTTATATATTAAGTTTATTGTGTATATTTTTGTAATTTTTTTTTTCTTTCCAGTATTTGGCTTTTGATACACAACATATAATGGGTGGACGTGAGTTGGAACTTAGCGCAGAAGAGTATATATTCGGGGCTTTACAATTATACTTGGATGTTGTCAATTTATTCTTAATTATTCTATCATTTTTTGGTAATAGAGATTCATAAAGATAATATAAATGATATTCTAAATAATTTCCAAAAACATTAAAAGACAAAACACAGTTTTATCACACACATCTACATACAATGTGTATTACAATGAATCAAGTATTATTATTATTCCCGTCTCTCTTTTTATGTGTGTGTGTGCGTGTGTGTGCGCGTTATTGGTCATTCCTACTCTTCTCTTCAGTTTTTTTTTAATTCATGAATACAAATAAGAAACTGTTTGTGAATATATCAACTTTGACCACTCTGTTATCCATGCATCTATGTATGAATAGATGGATGATGAATAAAAAGTGAGGTATTTCAAAGCTAGAATATAAAGAAAACATCATCTGAAAAGTTATTCTTTCATCAAATTCATATTCTTTCATCATTTGGCCTATCATTTATAAGAGTTATCATCTCAGTGAGCCCCATATATATATATCAGACTTGAACTTCACTAATCATCGACCTATAATTGTTGTTATCGTTGTTGTTGTTATGATGATATATTCTGTTTAACATTACGATAACACTTATTATTCATCCTTAAAAAGTAACTATACATCTTACTCTGATGCTAATATATTAATGATTCTCTTCAAATTATATTTCTATCCTTTCAAGTTGTCAATAACATATTCATATGACAGTATTTATCATATTTGAATTTCTTGTGTTATATAACGTGCGAGAACTCACCGGATCCATATTCATAATAATTTGGAATAGGGCATTACTGTTTCGTACTTTCGATCGCCCCCCCTACCGCCTTACACATACACACACACGCGCGCGCACATACCTTTTTCATGTAATCTTCTCTTGTTTATTCGATTTTGTTCATTCATCATTCGTTAATACATAAAGTTGCAAAAAAAGGATACAAACTAATAATAAGTGGATCTTCAGTGTGTGTATTTTGATTTTTGGAATTATCATCGCTTGTTTGTCTATTGTTTTCCAATCCAATTTATTATCATATTTTGTGTGTATCTGTTTAGGTTACAATGAATCATTACTGAAATATTTACTACTGATTTATTTTATGTGTTTTGTTGCTTCTTTAAAATGATTTGACAATGATTTCATTGTATTATGTAATTGTGCACAAAATATGGAGTCATAATTATATGTTTCATATTTCTTAAATCAAATATCAGTGGTCTAGTGGTTAAGCGCTCGCGCTCGAGACTGATAGGTCCTGGGTTCGAATCTCGTGGGGAGAGATCGTGTATGCGCACTGCTGAGGAGTCCCACGATAGGACGAAATGGCCGTCAAGCAGTGCTTCCAGGTTTCCATGGTGGCCTAGCTTCAATTGACTCGTGATCTCGACTATATAAAATCAAATATCAATTTATGATAGTTATACCATAAATGTAAGTGAATACCAGAGGGTTTTTTTGTGGACTGCAGTTTCATCCTATTGTGGAACTCCTCATGCTCACTAGCGACTGGCTGCATGAGGTATTTCCTGGAGTTCTAGTGAGAAGCAGTAACCAGTGGAATTCAACCAGGTCTGTTAGAAGATATCAACTCACTGAAGACACTGGTGAATGGTTGCTCAATTTCGTGGATCGGTTGAGGTTAGACATTAACACCGTTGGATGCTGGCGGGCTCAGTGGTCTAGAGGTCAAGTGCCCGCGCGCGAGACTGATAGGTCCTGGGTTGAAATCTCGCGAGGCGGGATCATGGATGTGCACTACTGAGGAATCCCATAATAGGACGAGTTGGCCATCAAGCAGTGCTTTCAGGTTTTCGATGGTGGTCTAGCTTCAATGGACTCACGATTTGAACTATAGATATGTGGATATCGTTTGAATGAACTAGAACGATTTCTTACTTGATGAAACACTAATGTATCAACTTTATGCGCCTACTGGTAGGATAATTCAGTCAGTAAATTATAGTGCTGAAATCGAAGTATGTAGATAATTGATTTTCAATTAAGTAGGTCAAAGGTTCGGTTGGACTTGCTGAATAAAATTATCTCTGACTTTTATACGAAAAGTATACAACTCAAAGCTAAACATGTATAAACCTGTACTTAGTAAATGAGTTAAACTAATGGAAGATCATAGTTATTACCTTAACATGGTGATCAGGGTTGTTTATTGTGATAACCAAATTGAGCCGTATTGAATAGGAAACCTCCCTTTAGGACGTAACATGCTAGGAATATAGGTTAGACTAAAAGCGGTAATGTTAGGTCCGAGGGGAAAGTGATGCTGCTGGCCATACTGAATTGTAACACTAATAAGGTATTTCCCTCAGACGACTAACAACTGTAGTGATGCTGTTTTTCTATGATGGGAGAGAAAGATCTGATAAAGTCGACCCTAAAATTACCGCACCACTTCGCTCATGGATTTTCGTCTCCCACCTTAAAGAGTTTAAGTTATGGAGCTAATACATAAAGAACTTGCAGAAAAGTTATGTGTGACCGGCCTCAGGTACCTGTCCATTGAGCACTGTGGTTACGCTCCTAGGTCGCCAAAAGCACTACAAATCTAGTTCCACTTTCAGGTATCTCAAGAACTATCCTTCCACAATGTATGGAACTGGGGAATAATGGCCACTTGCACACCTCTAACAATCGAGATGACCTTGTTAAAAACTGATGGAAGATAATATTTATTTCAGAAGCTAAGCTCAAAGATCCTGAGTTCGTTTCCTAGTAGGGTCGTGGATACATACTACCACTGCAGAATCCCTATAACAGAATTAGACAGCCGTTGAGTGCTTCATGACTTTAAATGAATGTCTTACTCAAGTCAGTTTGTAATTTAGATTTATGAAATTCATCAATCTACTCAACTCCTTACACTACAAAACATTTAGTTCAGACTAACATTAAAGTATTGGATATTATAGCGGTTGTACATCAGGTTGACTATTTGTATCATGAATGCGTGAATATCCTCAACAGACTATATTGGAAATCATTGAGCTGACTCAATCATTAGTTTCCCTACAAATGTGAGATTATCTTACACAGATTATTTGATCCTAATGAGAAAGAAAACCACTTTCATTAATTACTAATGCAGATTAAATGAGATTTGTATGTTAAGGTTTGTAGCTCAGTTATATGCAACTTAATGCAACTGAATCGTGATAGAAGTTACGACACCTTAGCACAATAAGTGAAAGAATTAGGAAGTTGTAAAGCAGTGTCGTTGAAATAATAATATTCATCTGCAATTGCAAATCCAAACATGTGGAATGTAGTTCAAATGAAACGAAATTATCGTTCAATATTTCTGTGTAGATAATTGATAAGTACAACAGTATCACTAATCTATATTTGAATATCTTAACCAGGAAGTCTTTTATCTATACGATAATAATTAAGGCTATTAGTTAATGACCTTACTAATTAGTGTCATTAGCTTTGTTTAGCTACCTGCTTCTATCTTAAAGCCTAAGGCGGTTTAAATGGTAAGTGATACAAAAGTATAATGATAGTACGATTTTTTTAAATGAAATTTATAGTATGATTTTAATTACTGGAATTAGTAGAACAATTCAATATCTATGTTAGTGCACGTTACTTACGCCTGCTACTCCCAATGGAGCATAGGCCAACGACCAGCATTCTTCAACACATTCTGTTCTGGACCTTCCTTTCTAGTTCTATTCAATTTTTGTTCATTCTTCCTATGTCTATCTCCATTTTACAGAGTAATGTGTTCTTTGGTATTCCTCTTCTCCTTTGGCCTTGAGGACATCATGTGAGGGCTTGCCTTGTGAAGCAGTTGGGTGCTTGCTTTCCTTAATGTGTGTCCTATCCACTTCCAGCGCTTCTTTCTGATTTCTTCCCCCACTGAAATCTGGTTTGTTCTTTCCTACAGCAGGTTGTTGCTGATAGTGTTTGGCCAACGGATCCGAAGTATCTTGCGTAGACAACTGTTAATAAACACCTGTATCTTCTGGATGATGGCTTTTGTGGTTCTCCATGTCTCCGCCCCATACAGTAGAACTGTGTTGACATTTGTATTGAAAATTCTGATGTTGGTGTTGATTGACAATTGTTTTGAGTTCCAGATGTTCTTCAGTTGTAAATATGCTGTTCTTGCTTTGCCGACCCGCATCTTCACATCTGAATCAGATCCACAGTGTTCATAAATGATGCTGCCCAGATATGTAAAGGTTTTCACATTGTCCAAAGCTTCTCCGTCAAGTGTGATTTGATTTATTGATTTATATTGAGACCTACTGATGCTGAGACTGCTGCTACACTGGTCGTGCACTTTGGAACATATAAATTAAGTTTTTCAATTCCTTTCGTTAGAAATGTATTCATATAATTCGAATAGATTTGTTATTGCATTTAACTTGCTTTATTGTGATATTAGTCTATAAAGTTATTGACTATTGAACTGAACCGTGTTTCTAGGTGCAGCAAACTAACTGGTTGGGATCCGTGAGATTATTATGATAACTAGTTGGAGACATTAGATAGTGAGCATTAAAATTACCTAGGGAGACTACCCTCAACTTGGTGGTCTCCTTATAGTGCACCCTGTTTACACTGCACCCTAAATACTAGCTGTTTTGGTGAAGTTTATTTAATTTTTATAAACGGATATATATACCACTATGGGATTCGAATCAACAACTGCTTCTCTGTGCTTATGTGGTATGGAAACTCGAACTGATGTACATACGTACAAAGTTCTACATTTTGACTGACTGACTGATTAAAATTACCTCATAATTTTTATCTCATGAAGTCATTCCTTGTTGTCGAATCATATTGACTATTATCTAAATTTGTTAGTAACACTGATATTAATACTTCTACTACTCTGGGATTTCTCTTGATAATTCACATGTCATTGTGCAGACTAGATGTGACAACTTGAACTAATTTGTATTTGGACTAGATTTTATATTGATTATAATTGAGCGATCTCATTGTATATTCGATATCCGACCTAACTATGTTACGGAGTGGGCATGTTTCCAGCTAAGTCATCAATTATGCACATTTGTAAATTCATTTAATTA